ACTACTACTACCACTACTACTATGACTACTACTACGACTGCTACAACTACTTTCACTACTACTGCTACTGCTGCTGCTACTGCTACGTACTGTCACTACTACTACTACTACTACTACTACTACTACTACTACTACTACTACTACTATCACTACTACTACTACTACGACTACTACTACTACTACTACTTCTACTACTACTACTACTACCACTACGACTAGTCCACCTACTACTACTACTACCACTACTACTACTACTACTACTACTACTACTACTACTACTACTACTACTACCACTACGACTAAGACTACGACTACGACGACGACTACTACTGCTGGTATAACTACTACGATTATTTCGACTATTCGCACTGCTACTATTCCTACGGCTACAGCTACTACCAACACTTTACCATTGCAACTACTACTTCTTCCACTACTACTGCCGTTACCACTACGACAACAACTACTACTACTACTACTACGAATACGAATACGAATGCGAATACGAATACGAATACAAATACAAATGCGAATATGACTACTACTACGAATACGACCACTACCTGCCACTATTACTACTACGGCTACGACTACAACTACTACTAACCACCAAGATTACCATTACTGCTGCTACTACTACGACTAGGGCGACTACTGCGATTAGTATTTGGTTTGGACTACGACGACGACTGGTATTACTACTCGTACTACTACTACTACTACTACTACTACTACTACTACTACCAATACGGCGACTACTTCGACAACTACTGCTACTGCTACCACTGCGGCTACTACTGCGACTACTACTACTGCGACTACTACGGCTACTACTGCGACTACTACTACTACTACTGCTACTACTACTACTTCTACTACTACTACTACTACTACTACTACTACTACTACTACTACTATTATGACTACTACCTACCACCACGACGACTATTCCTACCTTTTTAGTATTCTCTGTCTATCACTAGTACTACGACTGCGGCAACAACTACCACTACTACGATACGACTACTGCTACTTTTATCACGAAGTCTACTACTACTACTACTACTACTACTACTACTACTACTACTACTTCTACTACTACTACTACTACTACTACTACTACTACTAGTACCAAAACGACGACTACGACTACTACCGTTACGACTACTTGTAGTACTACGACTGCGACTACGATTGCTAGTGTTACTACTCCTTTTTTACGAGCGCGACTACGACTAGCATTCGTTTTTAATGTTCTTTTCTTATTACCGTTGCTTTTACTAATACGACGACTACTACTACTATTACTACTACTACTACTACTACTACTACTACTACTACTACTACTACTACTACTTCTACTACTACTACTACTACTACTACTACTACTACTACTACTACTACTGCTGCTACTACTACTACTACTACCACGACCCTGGCTACGGATGTGGTTACTACCATCACGACTACGGCTACCTTGAAATATAGCTCTTACTACTACTAGGGCAATCCGTAGCCTGTGTTGCCGGACTCCGAGGATGAATCCCTTTTGGGTTCCGCGGGGGTTCTTTGTGGCTTTTTGAAGGATTTTTTGGATTCTGCAGAACTCCCAAGGATTCCCGTGGATTTCTGGGGATTCACCAGGTACCAATTGATTCCTGAGGGTTCCTACGGATTCTTCAGGATTCCTCAGGGTATGTTGATTTCTGATTTCCAGGACGCCTCGGGACCCCCCAGGGCTCACGATATTTCAGTGGATTCCTGAGGATTCCAACGGGCTCTTCACGATTCGTCAGGTCATGTGGGTTCTTCAGTCTGTTCATGATTTTGCAGGCGCGTCTTGGATTTGCAATCGTCCTCCTTGTCCCCACCCTTTGTGCAGCTACAGCTGGGGGGGCTAGCTGCGCCCCTCTCCAACCGAGGGGAGCCCACTGCGTCGACTCTCCCCCAGAGCAGAAAGGCCGTTGACCTGGCAGCGCAACTTGCACAGCGGTGAACTCGCCCACCTCAGCCTCCAACTTAACTTCTCCCCACAGAGATGCATCCCACTCCTCCTCCTCGGTCCCCGAGCCGATTTGTCGTCCCGAGTCGTTCTTGGGGAGGGCCTCCGAGGCCCGAAGCCCGCGTCGCGCACAGAAACGCGCGGGCGTTTTTTGTGACCGTGGCCCTCGCCAGGCCCTTTAGTCCGTCAAGAAGCAGGCGGGATGATGTACCGGCCCCGGGGAATCGAAGGAGAGCTCATTACATAAACAGTATTCCCCATATCTTAAGATGGGGTTCTTGTTGTTACTTGGACGCCTCCTACTCCTTCTCCTTCCTCCTCCTCCTCTTTTCTCCTCCCCTCCTGTCGGACATACTCAGACTTGCTCATACACAGACTTACTCATACTCAGACTTACTCATACTCAGACCTACTCATACTCAGACTTACTCACACTCAGACAAACTCATATACAGACGTACTCATACACAGACTTACTCATACACAGTATTAGTCATACCCAGACGTACACATACACAGACTTACTCATACACAGACTTACTCATACTCAGCACCCCTAAGGGGAGCCGCCAGGGGTGGTTGCACGGGCTCGTTCGCGGCCATTTTGTGGGGATGTCTCAGGCGGTTTGCCTGTTTCTGTGCCCAACATCCTTCGCTTTCGGAGCAGATTTGGAGGATGTCTCGAGCGAGGCGCTCATTTCAGCACCCCTAAGGGGAGCCGCCAGGGGTGGTTGCACGGGCTCGTTCGCGGCCATTTTGTGGGGATGTCTCAGGCGGTTTGCCTGTTTCTGTGCCCAACATCCTTCGCTTTCGGAGCAGATTTGGAGGATGTCTCGAGCGAGGCGCTCATTTCAGCACCCCTAAGGGGAGCCGCCAGGGGTGGTTGCACGGGCTCGTTCGCGGCCATTTTGTGGGGATGTCTCAGGCGGTTTGCCTGTTTCTGTGCCCAACATCCTTCGCTTTCGGAGCAGATTTGGAGGATGTCTCGAGCGAGGCGCTCATTTCAGCACCCCTAAGGGGAGCCGCCAGGGGTGGTTGCACGGGCTCGTTCGCGGCCATTTTGTGGGGATGTCTCAGGCGGTTTGCCTGTTTCTGTGCCCAACATCCTTCGCTTTCGGAGCAGATTTGGAGGATGTCTCGAGCGAGGCGCTCATTTCAGCACCCCTAAGGGGAGCCGCCAGGGGTGGTTGCACGGGCTCGTTCGCGGCCATTTTGTGGGGATGTCTCAGGCGGTTTGCCTGTTTCTGTGCCCAACATCCTTCGCTTTCGGAGCAGATTTGGAGGATGTCTCGAGCGAGGCGCTCATTTTCACCCCCCAGGTGGGCCAGATTTTGAGGATGTCTCGATCGGTTTGCTAGTTTTGGTGGCCAGGCTCGTGGGCGCAGATTCTTCTCAGGATGCCACAGGAGGCTCCAACAGGCTCCAGGAGGCTCCAGGAGACCACATGAGGTCCCAGGAGGCATCAGGAGGCCACAGAAAGACTCAAGAGGCCACAGGATGTCCCAAGAGGCTCCAGGAGGCCCCAGGAAGCTCCAGAAGGCCTCAGGAAACCACAGGAGACCCCAGGAAACAACAGGAAGCGCCAGGAGGCTTCGGATGGCAACAGGAGGCCCCGAGAGGCCCCAGGAGCAGGAGGCCTCAGAAGGCAACAGGAGTGGCTCCAATCCCATGTGTTTTACGTATGCTCCTATCGATTTGGGCATCACCTGGAGCACGATTCTTTGATGTTCTACGTATGTTTATATAGATGGTCCTTCGCCTGTGTACACAATCCTAAATGTGTTACTCATGTTCCTATGTATTGGGCCTCTCCTGGGGCACGAGTCCTTGGTGTTTTACGCGTGTTCCTATAGATTGCCCTTCTCCTGTGGCTCTAATCCGCAATGTTTTATGTACGTCTGTTGCTATAGATTGCGCCTCCCCTGGGGCACGAAACCTTCCTAGGAGGTCCCAGGAGGTCCCAAGAGGCTCCTGGAGACCCCAGGAAGCCCCAGTAGGTTTCAGGAGGCCCCAGGAGGCCCCAGGCTCATGCACAGAGACGCGCTCGTACTACTGAGGCTCATTCACACTCCAATTCATTCGCAGTTAGATTGACGTCCAGACCGTCACAACTGAAGCCCGTGAATATTCGAAAGCTCTTGCGCCTAGACACTCACGGCGGACAGGTCCATGCGAGTAGATGCACATATGGGGAGCTCCACGCAGTGGATAATTTGCCGGGGCTCCGCGTGGGTGCTTCTTGGATGTGCGCTGGGCCCCCCCCCCCCCGGCGGCGCCTCCGGTGCCGCCCTTGGCGCGCTCCGCGCCAGGGGGGAGGGCCCAGCGCAGATCCGAGAAGTCCGCGCGGAGCGCCAACAAAAGTTTACGTTTATAGGAGGAGGAGGAGGAGGAGGAGGAGGAGGAGGAGGAGGAGGAGGAGGAGGAGGAGGAGGAGGAGGAGGAGGAGGAGGAGGAGGAGGAGGAGGAGGAGGAGGAGGAGGAGGAGGAGGAGGAGGAGGGGAGGAGGAGAGGAGGAGGAGGAGGAGGAGGAGGGGAGGGAGGGAGGGAGGGAGGGAGGCGTAACGAAAAATGCTATTAGCGTTTTTTCGTCTTCTAGGGGAAAGGTTCGAGACTTTACGGGACCCCGCAGTGAATCCAGGCTTCTCAAATCGAGTCGGAGCAGATGGGGCTGGAGGATCGGACCGCATCGCCAGTGCGGCTCGATGTGGAGCCTGATTTGTTCTGCGTTGACGTCGCCGATGCACCGCCGATGTCGCCGATGCATCGCCGATGCGTCGCCGATGCATCGCTGATTCATCGCTGATTCATTGCTGATGTATATGTGATGCATCGGCGATGCAGGGCGATCCCCCGACCCCATCTCCTTGGACCCCTTCTAGGAGGCCTCGGTAGACCATTGAACAAATCAAGGCGTCGGACGTCTAGGATCAGGATGAGGCCCGCTGCAGAAGCGATCCGCGGCGAGCTGTCAAACCGAAGTGGCGCCCGCCCCCCCGAGGACTCCACGTACAAGTGGTTCGAGGCGGGGCCGCAGCTCGGGCGGGGGGCTCTGGCCAGGTAAAGGGGGGTATCAAGCAGTGGCGAAGCGTCCTTCTGCACGTGCCAAGTCCGACAGCAGTTCCCGATCATTTTTAACCGGGCGCGCTGTCGGTGTCCTCTCGGATGTTGTCGATTTGAGACAGGATGCCGACTCCCAACAGCGGCCGTTGAAGGTCTTGGGCAACAGGTGTTGCTGGGCATCGTACCCATAATTCTTGTCCGTACCCGCTTCGGTCGTCCGAAGGATTGTTTTGCATATAGGCTCATCGGCGCACAAGAGAGAATTTTAATAACATGATCTGGTGTGTGGAACATGCTGTTAGACCACTCCTGGCTAGGACAGTATTGCTTTAATGCGTCGGTTGGGTGGTCTCAGGTTTCTGAGCATCGCTTCTGGTTTTGATTCGATTCTTGGTTCTCAGGGCGTGTCGTGGTAGGCCTTTACAGATGCCAGGACGGTCGGACCTTACTCTGGGCCTCGAGACGGCCGCACTGGGGTCGCACGATGCTCATCCGCCCTGCTCGAGGGAGGGGGGAACAGCCCCCCACCGCCAATGGTCAACTCCCAGGATCCACTTCGGTCTTGTAGGTCCGATTCGACGTCGATGCCGCCCAGCGCGGTCCGATTCGATCTCGATGTTCTGACGACTTGATGCGGTCCGATGTTTTCTTTGCATGTCCTTGTAGAGCAACCCGGCGGGCGATGCAGACCGATGCGGACCGATCCGACGCACGTTCCGATCAAATGGAAATTCCCATTCTATGTTGGCAACCACGTCTCCCTTGTCTCGTTTGACAAACAAACACGCGTCGGATGTGTTTCTTGGCCGCCTGCGGCCTCCGAAGTCTTTCGCCGGGCCCCGGGACCGACGAGAAGCAATGCGGGATGAAGAGTTGGTCCCGAGGGGAAGCTCCAGACCCCTGGGGTCCACGCTGCACACACACACACACACAGAGACACACATACACACACACACACACACACACACACACACACACACACACACACACACACACACACACACGCACACACACACACACACACACACACACGCACACACGCACACACACGCACACACACACACACACACACACCACGGCGCGGGAGGCCTGGGCACGGCCGACGAACGGCCGACGACGCCCTCGCCGCCTTCCTTGGACGTTCCCGTGGCTTCTCTCGCCGCTCCACGGCCCGACGCGGCGCGGAGTGACTCGGCCAGGAGGGACCCCGGATTCTTTGGAACGGGCTCGGGGCGGCCCAAAGGAGGGTGACGGTGATGACTAGGGGGGGGGGGAATATCATGGCGGGGGCCATGATCTACCCCCAGATTGTATGGCGCCTCTTCGTGTTTCCACCCCCCCCTCTGGGCCGCGCACACGCCGCCGGCCACGTTTGCGCTCCCCCCCCCCCTCCGCCTCTTTGGCGCCCCCCGTCTGGGCCGCCCCCGAAACGGGCGCGGAGGCGCAAAGGGTGGGGGCCATTCCCTGGGGGCCAAGGTTCAGGAGGAAAAGAAACACACAGACACAATTAATCGGCGATTCCCAGAAAATATTGGAAAATATGGGAAGTGGTGGGGAAGACAAAAACCAAGAAAATATGGGAAAATATGGGGAATCTGTTTATTTGTGTGTATTTATTTGTGTGTCCCAGTTCCCCTTCAAAGGTGCCGACATCGCTGCCCTCCCATCGTTTTCGCCTTTTGTTTTGCCCTCCAGGGAGGCCCTCGCCGCCGCCGCTGGAGTCGCCTCGCTGGAGCCTCCAGGGGTCCAAAACAGTGCGCTGACGTACCGTGCGGTGAGGTCTTGGGGGCGTTCGAGGTCACCGCACGGTCTGTCACCGCACCGTGTCGGGACTCCAAAACGCGGTCGCACACATCTTGACGAACAAGACGCCTGAGCGCCCAGGACCCCTTGGGCCGTGGAGCGGTGCCGCCGCCGTGCCGCCGCCGCGCCGCCGATCCACTGCGACCCCGCACCTAGTCATTTCAGTCGGGCGTGTCCCTCTACAGGGGGAAATATTCAATAAATGATTCAAGACTCGTCTGGGGACGATGGTTCTATTATTTGTGGGCTAGTTTCGATGATTCTGTTGACTTTGTTTCATTTGTCCTCCAAGTATCCGCCTGTAGGAGGACATGCCCGACCTAAACCTGGTTGCGCGTGTTCGCTCGCTCCCTCCCGAGGCGGGGATTCGTCCGCGGAAGACTCGTTCGTGTTCGCCGTGGCGCGTCGGTGTGCCCCGAGGCATCTTCTCGGCACGCGCAGAGGGGGTAGGGGGAGGGGTGAAGGCTTCTTAGAAGCACCCCTGCTTCTTAGAAGGCGCGGGCCTTCTCTATAGATATAAGGCCGGCGCCTTCTAAGAAGCAGCTTTCTTCTAAGAAGCCCTCCCCCTTCCCCCTACCCCCTGTGTGCGTGCCGCCAATCGTCGATCCTCGACACAGGAGGGGTGCAGTGCATACAGTTTTTGGCCGCCCTCAGAGCCGAAGAGCTGTGCACAGTACCGCGCTTGAGCGGGGCCTGCAGGGAGTCCAGGCACGGTGCGGTGCACAGGGGCCGCTGACATAAGTTGTCAGTCGCCACCGCCTGGGGGGATGATTTTCAGGGACCTCGGCATGCGGCGGATGTGGGTATGTCAGGAGCTCGGGCGTGGGACCTGGCGCGCGGGGCATGCCCGTGCGTTTGTGCTCGGGCGAGGGGCTGACCGTACCGTGGGCCGCGCCAGTCGTTCGGGGCGGGCCTGGCGGCACATGCCCGGCCGTGCCCGCTGCTTTTCTTGCACAGTTCTTGTCTCCTTTGACTTGCCGAAGAAGTATCTGGGCCCAGGCATATCGGTATCTATCGCCTCACTGGGGCCACAGGGCAACGCTTGCCAAGGCGGTGGACAGGCAGCATGCTCGCTCGACGTGCTCTGTGTCGGGATGAGAACCGCTGGGTTGCGATTGCCGTTGCTGCCCCCATCCTCCGCGTTTCGCGCCTCCCTCGTTACCTGCCCCCGTTCATCCCTCTTCCCCTGCCGTCCCTCTGCCCGCCCCGGGGGCGCGCCACCGTGAACTGCGACGCGCGACCTGCCCGAGGCCGGGGGCGGGAGCACTTCGCCCGGCCCCTCCTGGGCAGGTTGTGATGGTGGACCCCATGCACAAGTGCGTGCGCGACGACCCGCGGCTCAACTGGATCTGCAAGAACGTGATGAAGCACCGCGAGCTGCGCGGCCTCACCGCCGCGGGCCGCAAGGCGCCCTCGCCCGCGGCCCGGCGCGGTGCGGCGGGGAGGCCGCGGCAAGCACCACCTCGGGCTCGGGAGGGGCCCTGGTCTTGTGGAAGTCGGAAAATGGAGAGGAAGCATGCTGCCAAATAGTTTCCAGATGTCTGAAACATGTTTCGAACATGTTTTAGATATGTAAAAACATGTTCGAAACATTTTCAGAACAGGTTTTACACAGTTTCAACACATGTTTAATTCAATGAGCGGATTGTTAGAGTGTCTATTGTCATGGCATGAACAACTCTGGTCTGTGAATCGTTCCCCAGATCCGAGGTTCAAGGCTTTCGGGGGCATTCGTCTGGTCCTTGGGCCGTTCCACAGGCCCGAAGTCTCCAGCTGTTCGCCGTCGTCGATCGACGAACGCGAGGCAGCACGAGCACGCATGTCCCTTGTGAGGGGCAACGTTAGAGGCGAGATCCGATGTTCGAGGTACAGTCGGGGCGCTGAAGAAGAAACCCTGTTCGTTGGGGAGGGGCTCGATGTTCCTTAATTGTTCCACACCTTGCCTGAGGTTTCCCTTCTGTGTTCGATGGGAAGTCAAAGTTCAACTTACGAAAAAAGGGGCCTCGTTCCTGATTTAGGGTTCCTTAGGTCAACGCCTCGACTGTATGCGGACGTTCTCGTCGGTTCTCGGTGGCTTTCCGGCGTCGGGATGCCTGCCAGCGGCGGCGCCTCGCCGAGAGCGATCAGGGGCTGCCAGGATCCTTGTGAGGGGCACCGTTAGAGGCGAGATCCGGTGTTCGAGGCTTGCGGACGTTCTCGTCGCTTCTCGGTGGCCTTCCGGTGTCGGGATGCCTTCCGGCGGCTGCGCCTCGCCGAGAGCGTCCAGGGGCTGCCAGGGTCGTCCCGATCGGCCGGCCGCGGGAGATCCAGAGCGCCCTTGTCGCCCCTCCTCCTCCTCCTCCTCCCCCTCCCCCTCCCCCTCCTCCTCCTCCTCCTCCTCTTCCTCCTCCTCCTTCTCCTCCTCCTCCCTCTCCCCTCCTCCTCCTCCCCCTCCTCCTCCTCCCCCCCTCCCCCTCCTCCTCCTCCTCCTCCTCCCCCTCCCCCTCCTCCTCCTCCACCTCCTCCTCCTCCTCTCCTCCTCCTCCTCCTCCTCCTCCTCCTCCTCCTCTTTCTCCTCCTCCTCCTCCTTCTTCTCCTCCCGAGTGATGATCCGAAAGTCGAGGGGCAGCGACGGGAGGGAGAGGCGCAGGGGGCGGTGCACCGGCCCCCCGTCGCCCACCGATCGCCGGCAGGGGCCCGACGGCCCACCCCGCCCGGGAGCACGCGGCTTCGCCGTCGGAGGCCCACGTCGGAATGCTCGGCGAGACATCGCCGAGTCGCCGCGGCGAGCTCGACGTGTCCCTCCCCTCCTCCCTTCTCCCTCCTCCATCCCTCCTCCCTCCTCCTCCTCCTCCTCCTCCTCCTCCTCCTCCCCTCCTCCTCCTCTTCCTCCTCCTCCTCCTCCTCCTCCTTCCCCTCCTCCCTCCTCCTCCTCCTCCTCCGCCCTCCTCCTCCTCCTCCTCCGCCTCCTCCTCCTCCTCCTCCTCCTCCCTCCTCCCCCGCGAGCCGGTCCACCCCTGGTTTGGGCGTCGCTCGGACGTGTGCATTTTTCCCTCGGCGAGGGCCATCGAGGAGCATCCTTGAGCATTTGGCGACAAGAGCCACGCACGAAACCCAGAAAAGCACAGGGAGTGGACGTCCGAGCGATGGCGAGTGGTAGGCAGGCAGCCCACGAGAGACGTGCGCGCCCCAGCACGGACAGGAGCACGCCCCCCCCAGGCCGCGAGACCAGCCGCGTGGTGCGAACGCCCGCGCAAGGCGCCCTCTCGAAGCCCCACGTGGATCCCCGCAGGTGCGCGTGCTGCTCGCTCGCTCCGGCCGCCCCGCGTGCGGCCGCGCCCTCCTCCGGCCCCTCCTCCGTCAAGGGAGGAAAAACCACCCAGACCGGACAATTGGCGTTTACCCACCGGTCGTTGAAAGTAGGTATTTTTGGATTCCCAGATTGCAATATATTTTCAGCGCCTTCCTACTTCAAGAGTCGAGTGGTTTTCCCTCTTCCTTCCTCTTCAGGAGGCGTGCGGAAACCCAATCTATTTCCAACGCCTTCCTACTTCATGTTTCTACCTACTTCTTCCGTCCGATGGGTACTGAACGGCCTAGGGCGTTTACTAAACAGCCCTGCCCAGTTCGATTCCTTTCTCTGGGCGCGTTTGCGAAAGGCCTCGCGTGTCGGGGTGGTTATTCTCGGGGTGGATTGTCTGCCCTCTGCTCCTGCATGGTGGCACAATTCGCTCTAACGGCATCCCCGTTCAGGCCTGATCCATTCGCCAGCGCAGACGTCCCCTGCCTAGCCGCCGACGCAAAAAAGTGCGTCCTTCTTTCGCTCCTGACCTCACATTTCCCCCATCGAGCTCTGGTTTTCGGGCAGCTCCTTCCTTCCGGTCTTGGCCAGGGGAGAACTGTTCGTGCCCGGGGCTCGCCGCGGCCAGAAAGAGCCCAGGTGTGCCTCGTGGTAGCAGGGTGGCTCTAAGGTTAAGTCGGGCAGGTCCCTCTACTGGAGGAACATTCAAAAATAGTCAATAAATCGTCTGGGGGCGATTTTTCCTACTGTTTTTGAAAATTTTCGATTTTTGTTGACTAGTTCTAACTGTTCTTCCAAAATCCGCCTGTAGGAGGACATGCCCTCTCTAAGGGGCGGAGGAGGCGGGGCCAGGGATCGACTGAGTGCTCCGCTAAGACGAAGGTGGCACGCCGGCTGGCCGGAGAGGCTCCTCGAAGGAGCGGTGCCCTCCGCTCCTTGGAGAGGGGGCTTTCCCAGATGGTGTTTTTCGGCGCATTTGAAGGGCAGGCTGTCGATCGGCCCATGCGGTGCACTAGTGTACAGAGCGCAGCCTCTCTGACCGACCTTGGGCTCGAGATAGTCCTCTCGTGAATCTACTGTGGCGGAGGTGGGGGTGCGGAGGAGGTTTCGATCCAGGACCATTGCCCACGGATCCGGCCACGGGGTATAATGTGTTGGGAAGTACGTCGATTCTTCCCTCTGAGCAGTGCAACAACGACTATCACACGGATATACACAGCATTGACATTACGTGCCAACACACAGCAGAGTAATGATCACGGTCGGTTCGGGGAGGGTGCCCTAATGTTTTTCTAATGGATTTGATTGTGCATATCGGTGGAGGGTGCACTCGAATGCTCTTCAGTTTGGGCCAGCGGGGGGTCTCATGTTCTTGTTCTGTCCTAGGCCCGACCGTAAACATAACACCTGCGGCGCAGGCACGGGGCCTCCTCAAGAAGGGCAAGCGCGCCTCCAAGCTCCGCCCGTCGTACAAGGGGCACTACAAGAAGACCAACAAGATGCGCCTGCGCAGGCGCGTGCCGCCGTCCCCTATCCCTCCTCCCCCGTCTTCGGTCTTGCTATCTCTTTCTCCTCCGCGTCCTACCGTGCCGCATGCATCTTGTCATCCGCCTGCTCCGGCCCTGAGTCCTGGAGATGGAGCCACGAGGGATGGCGCGTGTTTGACATCAGCGGGGACAGCGTTCCCTCGCCGCCCATCGGTCGCTGCTCAATTGTCGAAGCTCTGACGCAGGACCACTTGATGCTTGTCGCCGCCGCCGCCTCCTCCTTCTCCTCGTCCTGCTCACGCCTCTTGATCCCTTTCATTATGTCCTCCCCGTCCTCATCTTGGTCTCTCCTCTCCTCGCGATCTCTCCTCATCCTCGTCCTCCTCCGTTCCCTCCCTATTCCCTCCGCCTGCGCCTTCCCCTTCTTGACCACCGTCACGACACACAGCATCAGCATCATCACCAGTATCATGAAACTCAACATCGTCCATCCCCCTCCTCCCTCGTTCATTTCCGTCGTCCTTATTCTTCATCATCGCCATCGTAATCGTCGTCACCATACCTGCTCGTCCTCTTCCTGCTCCTCTCCCCTCGTCGTCCCCATTCTCATCCTTCTCTTCGTTTCCTCGTCACATCCTCCCTCCTCTCTGGTCTTCGGCCTTCCTGCCTGTGGTCGACAAAAGTCCACTCGGATGGACCCCTGGGAGGAGGAGTGGTCAGACTGTCGGATTGTTTGTTCCCCTCTTGCCCTTTTGGTGGCGTTCCCTCCTCCCTCCTCGTCTGCTCTGCTAAGTGCGATGGGGTCATCACTGGTAATCGAAAGGATTACGTAGATAGAATTTCCCGAGGCCTCTGGCCTAAAGTTCGCAGCAAAGCCGAGCTGGCCAGCGGGAGGCGGCAGGGTAAGTAGCCGCTTCAGTCATCAGTAACCGACACTGTCGCCATACCCAGAACTCCAGAACCCGCGGTTCGAACATCCCCGCGGTTCGAACATCCCCCCCCCGCACGCCGCGGTTCGAACATCCCCCCTCCTCGCCTGCTCTTTCCCGCGGTTCGAACATCCCCCCCCGCCGCACGCCGCAGGTGGCGCTGAGCGGGCTGCGCCCGTGGCGGCGGATGGGGCCGGTGCGCGGGGATCGCGCAGAAAAGAGCGGGGCGGCGCGGGATGGAGCCGTCGCAGCCATGGGAGAAGGACGAGACCGAGGACGACGGGGAGGAGGAGGAGGAGGAGGAGGAGGAGAACGGGGAGGAGGAGAACGGGGAGGAGGAGGAGGAGGAGGAGGAGGAGGAGGAGGAAGAGGAGGAGGAGGACGACAACGGGGAGAGGAGGAGGAGGAGGAGGAAGAGGAGGAGGAGGAGGGAGAGCGACGGGGACGAGGACGAGGACGACGGGGAGGAGGAGGAGGAGGAGGAGGAGGAGGAGGAAGAGGAGGAGGAGGAGGTGGAGGAGGAAGATCTTAGGATTGCAGTCCGCTCAGCGTCAAAAAGGAGGAGGAAGACGACGACGGGGAGGCGGAGGTAGAGGTGGAGGAGAAGTAGGAGGAGGAGGAGGAGGAGGAGGACGACGACGACCACGTCCACGTCCGCAACGGAAACGGCGGCGACGGCGGCGACACGGTGGCGAGGACGGCGACGACGACGGTTACGTGCGACGCCGACGACGCCGCCGCCGAGGGCCACCGACGGCCGCCGAGGGCCGCCGAGGGCTGCCGAAGGCCGCCGAGGGCTACCGAAGGCCGCCGAGGGCCGCCGAAGGCCGCCGAGGGCCGCCGAGCGCGCGCGCGCCAGGCGGAGCGGCTTCGAGACGCGGCGCTCTCGGAGGCTGGCAGGGCGCAGGCGCGCCGTGCGCCGGACGGCCGGCGGGCGTCGCCGTCCCTGTTCGAAGAGCGCGAGGCAGCAGGAGCACAAATCTTCCGAGGGGCAACGTTAGGGCGAGAGTCGATGTTCGAGGCGCTCGTCGGTTCTCGTCGAGGCCTTCCAGCCCGAGGATGGCTTCAGCGGCCGCGCCTCGCCGATGGCGTTCCAGGGGGGCCCAGATCGTCCCGAACGGCCGCTGGAGAGCCGAGTTATGACGCGAAGACCAGGGGGCAGCGTTGGGGAGGGACAGACGCAGGGGGGGAGACTCGACCCCCAATCGCCCAGTGATCGCCGACAGGGGCCTGATAGCCCGCGCCGCCCTGGAGGTTGCGGTATCGCTATCGGGTGCCTATCGACAGGCAGCTCCGGTTGAAGCTCGATGTTCCTCCCCGTACGGTCATCTTGGTTATCCTTCAAGGAGAGAGTGGCGCATACACCCACAAAAACGTTCGGAGGTCCGCGCGGATTTCTCGGATCAGCGCTGGACGCCCCTGGCGCGTCTTAGAAGCCCTCCCGGCCCCTAGCTGGTGGCTCAAAGATGGGGTCCTGAGGGATGTGGGCCCGAGGATAGGAGTGGATCCAAGGGTGAATTCACACTGTTTGAGGCACCTCGTCCTTAGGACCCCATCCCTCAGGGCCCCATCTTTGAACCACCGATCTCCCAGTGGCCTTCGCAGAAGCCCCCAGGCCCTTCTGATGAGGCCCATGCCTTGGCCCATGCCTTCTGAGAGGCCCCTCCCCGCCTCCCGCCTCCCTGGATGGCCGTCCCCCTCGCGACGGCCGCTTGCGCGCCAAGTGAACTCCCGGAGGTCCGCGCCTGGATCTGCGAATCGCAAGCCTCCGTTCTTGAAGCTCCATGCTGGGAGGCAAACCACCCTGGGCAGTGGCGTTCACTAAACGGCCTCGGGCGTGTTTGCTAAACCGCCGTGCCATGTTCGATTGCTTCCTTGGTTGCGTTTGCCGAACGGCTCTTGTCGGTGTCTTATACTGAGGGTTGATTGTCTGTTTTTCTACAACGGGTCCTGAGGGAAACCTGTCCTGAGGTAGTTCGCTGTTTTTGGCTTCGTGGTCCACGGCCTCGATACTCTCAGAACGCGGCTCAGGGTGAAGAATTGGTCTTGGCCCGTTTCCTTCAGGGCCTGTTTCCCCCATGCTAAGTTCCCGCGGGGGTTGCGGCGAGCGAGGACCGACGAAAGAGCAGCCGCATGAACGTAAACTGTCGGTGGTCCGTGCTGATTTCTGTGGTCGGCGATGGACCCCTCCCCCCGGCGGCGCATCTGTGCGCTGCCGCTGGAAACATCCGATCACCAATGGTATCGGTACGCTTTGTTCCCTTTGCCTGAACATGAGAGTTGTGCGGGTGTATTTCAGGAGGGAAAGAAACACACAGACACAATTAATTGTCGATCCCCAGGAAAATATGCAAAAATATGGGAAGTGGGGGGAAGACCGAAACCCAAAAAATATAGGAAAATATGGGGAATCTTTTTATTTGTGTGTATTTATTTGTGTGTCCTGGGGCCCCTTCAGTATTATTGGGTTGGCGATGGGGCCTTCTGGCGGCGTTTCCCGCGCCGCCCCCGAGCGCCCTGGGAGGCGGTTTCGGTGCGGATCCAGGGAATCCGCGCGGAGCTCCGGAAGTCAATGTGCATATCACGTGTGCAGTTCTTCAGGAGGGGAAAAAACACACAGACACAATTAATCCTCGATTCCGAAGAAAATACTGGAAAATATGGGAAGTGGGGGGGAAGACAGAAACCCAGAAAATATTTGGAAAATATGGGGAATCGTTTTATTTGTGTGTATTTATTTGTGTGTCCCAGTTCCCCTTCAGTTCTTCCAGTCGCCCCATCGAGGCTCGATGTTCGAGGATCGCAGGCTTGGTGGGTGCATCTTGCCCTTTTGGAGACGTCGGAAAGAGCCCCTGGAAGGAGTCCCCGTGTGGTCTGCCTTGGAGTTCTGGCCAGAATGTGCCCGAGGAGAAGTCGGGGGCCCGTTTTCTGACGGGAAGTGTCGATCAAAGAAGAAGAAGAGGAAGAAGAAGAAAAAGAAGAAGAAGAAGAAGAGCATGAGCGTTCATTGTCTGCGCTCCACGCGGGATTTTCGGATCGGCGCTGGGCCCCCTTGGCGGCGTCTCAGGCGCAGCTCCTGCGCCGTGGAGTGGGTCCAGCGCCTGTCCGAGAAATTCGCCCGGTGCTCCGAAAGTCTACGTCAATGCAGTTTTTTCCTTCCAGTGTCAACCTTCCGCGGCTCGTAAGAATAGCGCCCGAGGCTTTTCGCCTGTCTCGGACTCGGCTTCCTGGGCCTTGGGGCCGGCAAAGAACATGAAGGAGATGGAAAGCCGGTCCGCCTGGGTATTGACGAAATCGTTCGCGGCCGTTGCCCAGTCGACGTCGATATCGTCGTCGTCGTCGTTGTCGTCGCCAGGCTGGGTTTTTCACGAGAGTCGTGAGGAAGAGGAAAAGATCTAAGGCGGGGAGGAGGAGGGAGAAGGAAGGATGTGCGGGAGGAGGAGAAAGAGTAGGAGGAGGAGGAGGAGGAGGCGGAGGAGGCAGGGGGCGGAGGAGGCAGGGGGTGGAGGGGGGAGGATAGAGGTGGGAGGAGGGAGGAAGTGGAGGAAGCAGGGAGGAGAGAGGAGGGACCAGCGCTCAGACTGATCAACTGTATTCCCTGCTGGTATACCTATACGACCACCCTTCGGGTGATAAGGAGGTTCGGGGGGGGGGGAACCAACGTCTCACTCGATCGGTCTCACTATCGATCTCACTATCGATCTCACTATCGGTCTCGCTCGATCGATCTCACTCGATCGATCTCGCAATCGATCTCGCTCGATCTATCTCATTCGATCGATCTCACAACTGATCTCACAATCGATCTCACAATCGATCACACAATCGATCTCACATTCGGTCTCAATATCGATCTCACTATCGATATCACAATCGCTCTCACAATCAACGTCATCATCACCATCATCATCATCATCATCAACATCATCAACATCAACATCATCACCAACATCGTCATCATCATGCGGGCACCGTCATCATCATCATCATCATCATCATCATCATCATCATCATGAACATCATCATCAACGTCAGCATCATCATCATCGGTAAAACATCATCATCACCATCATCATCTCATCATAATCATCATCATCGGGACAGTCATCGTCATCATCATCAGCAGCATCATCAGAATCATCATCATAATCGGGACACCATCATCACCATCGTTCTCATCATCAACATTACCATCAACATCGTCATCATCCTCGGGGCACCATCATCATCAAGATCATCGCATCATCATCATCATCGACATCATCATCAACAACACCATCATCGTCACTGGGGCACCCTCATCATCATGAGCAACATCATCACCAACATCGTCATTATCATTATTATCATCATCGGGACACCATCAGCATCACCATCATCATCACCATCATCATCATGATCATCATCAGCATCATCATCGGGACACCGTAATCATCATCAACATCATCATCATCAACATCATTATCGCCGGGACATCATTTCCATCAACATCATCATCACAAACATCATCGGAAACATCATCATCATCATCATCATCATCATCATCATCATCATCGGGACACCATCATCGTCATCATCATCAACATAATCATCATGAGCATCATCATCCTCATCATCGGGACACTATCATCATCATCGACACCATCGCCAACATCATCATCTTCATCGGGACACCATCATCATCTCATCATCATCATCATCAGCAGCATCATGATCATCATCATCATCATCATTTCATCATCCTCATCATCATCATCATCATCATCATCATCATCATCATCATCATCATCATCATCATCATCATCATCATCATCGCGGGGCACCGCGGGACACCGGCGGGACACCGCGGGACACCGCGGGACACCGCGGGACACCGGCGGGACACCGCGGGCCCCCGGCCGCCCGGACGGGAGACATTTGGTCCGGCCGCGCCTCAGCCACACGGGACACCAGCGGGACACCGGCGGGACACCGCGGGCCCCCGGCCGCCCGGAAGGGAGTTTGGTCCGGCCGCGCCTCAGCCACAGGAGACTTTCTCTCGCCCGCCCACGCAGCTTCGCCTCGCCCGCACGCACGGCACGCACGAACACGAAACCGAAATCGATTTCCCGGTAGGGGGGCTCTCCGTTCCACTTCGATCTCACCCCCTCACCTCCGATTCTAT